TAAGGCATAACAATCTGGCTAAAAGATTGGATATGTTGACATGCTTCACTGTGCTGCATCAGCTCACACCAGCTGTCCTCGAAAGGAAGTAATAGCTAATAATACATTTTCAACAAATCTGCATAACAAAGGAGAGAGAGGGTGACAGAGAATAGAAGGAACAGGAAGAGAGAGATCACTACCTGCTTGTGAGAGACGATAATGAAAGAGGTGTAAACAAAGCGTCTGGACTGTCTGGGTTTTATGTCTTCTGTGTGCTTCTTTGTTCGTTTAGTTGTAATAATAACAAGCAATGGTTTTCAATGGTAGACTCCTGCCATCTTTACGCATTCATTTACCCAGATAACCCAGCCAGTCTCTGCCCACGGCAGTCTGACTCATCCCTATGGTCCTGCTTCTCACTGTGTGTGCGTGTGGGTGTGTTTGTTTGTGTGTGTATGTGTGGGTGTGTTTATGGAAATGCCCTCTAGTTGGACTCTCTCCCCATCCCAGGCGGTTAGGGAGGGGGTTGATTATTTATGTTCTGCACAAATTACAAAGGGTTGAGTTACAGCGCCATCGCACAGAAAACACTGATAAACTGTGAAATATCTAAACGATACCACCCTGATAGCTTTATTCAATTCATTCCTCACAGTGTGCTTCTCTCTAAGTGTAGCCAGGATTGTCTTTCTCTATTTTATGAGAGAGAGACGAGTAGAAAACGGGGCCTCCTCCCACCCTTCATCAGGTCAGAACCAATCATAATGACTTCTCCACAGGGGAGCATCCACTTCAATTATCCTCCCCTCAGCAGTGTCCCTGTATGAAGCCCTGGGAAACACTTTTACACGCTCAGAGGTAACGGAGAGGCTGAAGGACTTTTTAGAAACGGGGACATGTGTGTGACTCATTCTGGAATCTAGGCCGTATTAATATTTCGAAGAGATTTGGTGGAACACAGGGACAGGTTGTCCTGTCGCTCAGCACAACATCTGCTCGGCCCGCTGTGTTGTGACTGTGTGCATATCTGCTTGTGTATCTTTCAATTTGATTAACATTTAAGCTAGTGGCACCAAAGGAATTTATACAAACTGAACATATACTCTATCTTTGAATGTACTGTTCATTACCTCGAGAAAGTGCGTAGAGATTGCCTATAGATAAGACAAATAACTGTTTCTGTCTGGGTGCCCACATTCAGACTCAAAAACTGCTATTATACAGTCATTCATGCCTTAATAGAATTAGAATATATCATTGAGAAGGAGCCAATCAGTAGCTTATTATGAGGGATCGGCAGACTTGAATGGGCGCTAAATGTGCAATTTGCCCCGGTGAATAGCGTACCAGGCTTCTGAATTATTCACTGAAGTCTACTGGAAAGCCTCTGTATATGCTGGGCCATCGACAACTGAATCTGGACCTTGCATGCAGCAGACAATTAATGCTAAATGATAATAGCTGATTTGTTTATGGCTGTGCATATAAATTGGATTTTTACATATGATTGAAGTTTATGTTAATTGTCTTTCACCTGTTTATTTGGGTGTCTTTACAGTCATTGTCAAGACTAAGAGGCAGATGCTGAAAATATACATTAGCACACTAAATGTATATTAATCCAGGACAGAAAAAAGTCCCCACTATCTAGTTCTGTTGGTTGTTTCTCCAAAAATTACACTACCCGGATGTAAAATAAGTTGAACAGTATTTGTGATCTATTTTAAAAATCTACATCTTCACATATGAATGAGAATATATACAATTGTTTTCTGTCTGCTCTATACTGCCTGGTATTCAAGTCCAGGCAAACATGACAGAATACATCTTTTTTTAAAGGACTAGCAGGGTACTGTCGCTAAGAAAAGGCTTTAATATTCCTCCAAAATGATGTCTTGGTCCTGAGTAGACCTGACACTGTGACTACAGCCTCATACGGATCAATACCACTATCAGATTAATGTAAACGGGATGAAGAGTAGTGGAGAGAGAGGAGAAGCAAGCGAGAGGAAGATGTAGAAGGGAGAGACATAACTAGAGAGGGAGGGAGGGAGACAGGGGGAGGAGATCAGCTTGCTGCAATTGAACAATTGTGTCACTGCTGGGTAGCGGACACACCCATTACATAACAGCATTGTCCCACATGGTACACCCATTTATCCGCCTGTATCTGAAACAACCCATCTACAATAGTCTAGAAGTATCTCAGTATCAGTACGTCACAGTGTTTGTGCTCCTGGCAGACTGAATGCTCTCAGAGACCACAGGCCTTTTGTGGCAGACCGCCTCTCCCGAAGATATGAACCAGTGCTTTATGGCTGCTGGAAAGAGAGCAGGGCAGTGCAGCTGTGATGGAAACAATCCCATCCAGCTGTGATCTTCCTCTGACAGAGGAGACAGGGGGGAAGGAGGAGAAAACGAGGGATGTGGGAGGAAGAGAAGGGATGCTTAGCTCTGCCTCCAGGCCTGCATCATAGGGGAGATGATGGTGTTGGGCAAGAGGATTGGGGGTTGGAGCATTTGTGGCGTGCACGAGGAGGAGATTCAATTAAACTACACAAGGATGGAATGCATTTTTAATCACAGCGCTTAATTTCCTTACGTGATTGTCAGCCTTTGTGCGAGACAGTGAGGCAGCCTCTGAAAGAAGAGCTGCCATCTCTCTCTCTCTCTCTCATTCTCGCTATCTCTCTCTCTCTGTCCTTTGCAGCTCGCACAGCTCAGCGGGCCAGCAACACAATACACAGCAGCTTTGGCAGGAGCTGATATGACGCCACAAACTGTCATTTTACTGCAGCCAGAAAAACAAATCCAATCACCAGATATTTTATTCATTTCAAACTATGAAATGTCACTATGTATATGGCAGTGATTCCATGTGTGTTACAATGTTAATGAGACCACAAAGGTCATGGAAATCCAGCACAGATGATTGTCAAAGGGGTGTCTGCTGGTTTCATAATGTGCTTTGTCTTTGTAACAATGGCAGTGCAGTGGTTGTTAACTGTGTCGAAAGGTTTTCTCACTATATTTCTGAATTCTAAGCTGGTAGGCTCGACTTTGTAATCATGTTGTGTGCAGTCATGTGTTTTAAATCTATGATAGTGGTCTCAAACGCAGAAGAGATGAACGTGTTGACCTGAAAAATCAAGTCTACAAATGACATCGCTTCCACTAAGGCTTTCTGCAAGCAATCAAGGCAACAAACTAGTGACCTCCTTTTCTTGTAGTAAGAGAGGTTGTAAGGGAAGTTTCTTTGCCTCGGACCCTCTCGGCTACCCTGAATCATTCATATGCGCTGCTATGTTAGGAAAATAGCTGTGCACTCTTAAATATAGCTGCATACTCAGCTCCTGCTTCAAGCCAATGAGCATCATAGATAGGGCTCTGGAGGTCGAGGATGCACTGTCATTACTTTAATGACCCTTAATATTCCTCTAATGACTACTGTCTTTGCTCACTGCTTGGTTCATTTGACACATACGTATATAAAAAGTTTAACATTTTGAGAACATTCATGCACACAAAAGGCTTTTTCAGTAATATAGGATGCCTGATCCATGACACACGTCTGCTGCTGGTAAGCCTTCCCATAAAAGTATTTAATTCACCCTGCCTGAATTTGATGGTTCACTGAAATAGGCCCCCTTTTGAGCTCATGTCTGCATGTCTTAAACATCTGTGTGTGTGGGTACATGTGCGGTTGCATGTACGCGTGCATTACCATATGCACGCTCAGTAAACAAGCAGGCTGGAAAGGGTGCAGGTGATTTGAATATTTCTCATTTGAGTATGCAAAGTGGCCAGATAACCCTCTGTTTTCCAGCTTCTTCCAGCAATTAGAGAAATAAATAAATAAGCAGACTAATTAGGATGCTGAGAGGAAATGTAGAGGAAGGAAGCATTTTCAAGACCCCCGTATTTTCATCCCACACGCAGTGCATGCATAATCTAAATCATGTTCTAGCCATAAATACTAATCTTTATTGCTTCCGTCATAAATCATCTATTGGCAATATGAAAATGAACAAATCTCCAAAATAGGTCGATGGAATCAAGAAACATATATATCTGCATATGTCAGTGACATCGATGCCCTGCAGCAGTGGAGCTAGTGCTGATATTGGAAACACAGTATATATCAGGAAAGTACAGATTACTGTTTCCTCGAGCAGATGCCTTTGCCTGTAAACAATGTTAAAGGGAAACAGCAGCTTAACGACCAAACTCATTACAGCAGCAGGCAGATCAAAGCAACCAGGGATTCTGACGGCGTATTTACAATGTGTGTCTGAAGAGGTTGACTGTGGTTGTATCTGAATGTGTGCGAGTGCACGTTTGTGTATTTCAACGTGAGGGATGCGGTGTACAGCAGTTTTCATTCCCACTGCCTGAATGTATTGTAACATTTGTGTGCCTGAGTAATCTACCTCTCACCAAGCGTCATGGGCTATAGAAACCTGACGATCACATCCATCAGACTTTCCTTACCGTTCTCATTCCTCTTTCATTCCCCATTTCCTTATTCTCCATCTTCACTTGCCTAACTTGGATATTTCAACCCTTCCTAATCAAAAGATGTATGGCTACATTAGGATAAATATGAGAGCTGTAGACCGCAGAGAGCATAAATAAGCCCAGTATACTTTGGAGTTGGTTGGGTGAAAGCTCCTCACATGCTGAGTTAACATTCCCAAAGTCTTCACTGGGCTAACCCTGTGTTGACTCAAGTATTGGCCATAGAGTCAACTGTCGTCATTCAGTTTATTAACTAAATCTCGGTGCAAAGTTTGATGTTAAATCAGCATGTTTTTGCCAATTAATGGGCGAGCATCTGGGAAGAGACAAGAGCATATGTTGGCCTCTGGTCTCCACCTGCTATTATGCAGCAGAGAGGTCACCCAAATGAACACAGAGAGAAGAGAGAGGAATTGTGACTCAAGAAATATTCAGTTAAATTAAGTTTGTGACAGATAAGACAACTAAAATCAAAACTAAATCCAGTAAAAAAAACTTACAAAGACATCCATAAGCATGTGCTCCAGGGTCACCTCCAAGTCCTCGAGTCGTGTTGAAAGAGTCATCGTTCAGCTCCCCCACAGAAAGGTCTTCGCCACACTGAAAGACTCAATCAGGATCAAGGCTCCAGCTTTACAGCCCTTTCTCTTGTACGTGTAATCAAAAGATACTGACAGATGACTTAAATGAGCTAGTTAGGTCATGTCAGTCATGTAACATCTCAATTCTCCAGATGATTGCACCATGACAGCTTTTAACAATCCAGCCTAATTTGTCCACAGTCCCTTCTCATTCTCCATCGGAGAGCTTCCCAAGTGACCAGTTGTAGTCCAAATCTGATAAACAAACACGTCTATCTCCACTAGACTTGGCTCAGAAAACCGCCTGGATTCCGGTTAGTGCTCCAAACGCTTCCAAAAAGAGTGGGGAGACCCCTCAAAGAGCTTCCGTCGTTCCTTTGAGAAACCTTTAGCGGGTGATGAGGATTTGTGACAGACTGCAGCCTTGTAGTCCCTTCCTCAGATCTCAGTTATGATCCATGGGTGAGATAAAGACACTGACAACCCCCTGGCAGAGGGTGGGTCTCACTGTTGTAGAGATGCACGGAGAGGAGAAAGAAGCATAAGCTAATGGTCAGAATATCGACTCCTATGTGATGAAGTCCTACATCTGTTTCATTTTTTTTTTTTAAATATCTGTCTATCTCACATTCTCTAAGTTTTTTGAACAGTACATCTCCTCCCTCTTTTTCCACTTTCTCTCTCTCTCCCTGTTTTTCTCCGTGCCCTTTCAGGTCTCTGTCCACAGTGGACGTCTTTGTGTGGAGGGGGAGCCTGGGGCAGTCTATGCCCAGTTCTGGGTGCTCTTGGCTGGGGTCATCCTCTCTCACACTGGGTTTCTCATCAATGGGCCTTTGTAGGGGTCTCATTAAGAGCTGGCCCTGGATGCTGAGGCTCCAATAGACAACTGCGATATGGCCCCGATCTATGACTGGAAGCTTATGTAACAGTGACGGGGAGGGGAGGGGGGATTGGGTGAGGGTTGCAGAGGACAGGGCATGTGGGGTAGAGGGTTGATAGGGAAGGAGAGGGTGGGAGGGAAAGATAAGGGAGCGAGGCAGAGAGGAAATCACTCAGTGAGGGAGAAAGGCAAGTAGAAGAAAATGAGGGAAGAATGGGGACCGAGGATGTTGGTGGGTCGCTCCATGGAGAGAGGAGCTGTTTTTGTTTTTCTGGCAAATGCTGCTGGAATGTACCCTCCATTCTTTCTGTGTGTTAACCAGATTCACAGAGAGCAAGAAACAGAGAGACTGAGTCAGACAGCGGGGGGGTTGGGGGGAGTGAGTTTAGCTGGAATTCACCAAAAAACAGGATATGACTAAAAACAGTAACAAGCTGCAAGGAGAGTCACATAAATTACATTTACATAAGGGTTGGGGGAAATAGAAATGTCCCTTCTAACATTATTTCGTTATTTATGAGATGATTCTATTCAGAACAAGTTTAAAAAGACAGACACACATAGATATAAATTATATCAATAGAGTCACGATGCATATGTTGCAATACCCATGCTAGGAGGGGCTGAGTGAGTCAATCGCTATGCGCAGCAGAATATATAAATCATCTGACAGAGCGGATTTCTATATTCGCTCCCCAGCGGTATTCTGATGCAACTATTTTATCGATTGCTATGGTTGTATTAGACTGACTGATAAAAACTTTAAAAAATCCCAAACTTGGTCGCCAAACAGAGCCAGTAATATACATGCCTGCCAGAATAAAGTATCAATATGGAAATGTGTGAAATATGTGGAAAAGAGTCAAGCAGAGAGAAGCAAGAGACAAGGTAGAGACTGAATGACGCAAAGACATTCCCAACATATGTTCTCTTTACACAGATACAGTGAGGATCATTATCCAAAAAATACCAAAAATCATGTCATATTACCCAAGTCTAATGTTGTGCACCAAAGTAACAATGTTACTCGGCGTAATGCAAGTTACTCCAGGAAACCTGACCATGCAATGATAAAAGGGCTGATGCTGATATCGTCAGACACATTAGAGGAATGGCAAGAGACGGTGGTTGTGTGTAACCAATTCACCTTTTTCCAATTGGTCTCTTCTCGCTTCACTTCGCTCTATCTCTCAGACACATCCGTCTCTATCTCACCCCTGTCTCTCTCCTGCCCTCTTCTTTCTACAGACTCAGAGTGCCAATGACCTTTGCCCTCTGACCTGTCTTGGGTGTGAGCCCGGCTGGATCAGCACTCATCAGTCCTCACATCAACTCTACACACACACACACACACACACACACACACACACACACACACACACACACACACACACACACACACACACACACACACACACACACACACACACACACACACACACACACACACACACACACACACACACACACACACACACACACACACACACACACACACACACACACACACACGCACACACACTGTTAAATTAGAGTGCACATATCCATCAGTCCTTTGTTGCCCTCAGGAGGCCTCCCTGTCTTCCTGAAGTTGCTCCTAATGCTGCCCGCTGTGAATATGTATCACCCCACCATTAATAACTCAGAAATATCCCTCTAATTCTCATCTGCATGCCGCTCATGCATTATAAATACCCTCCTGCATGGAGGAGATGGACATAATATGGCCACTAAGACTTGTGAAGCAGGTGGCACGTGGAGTCTGAATGCAGGGAAGAGCGTCGAGAGCGGCAGGTAGCCTATCGTGACTGATATTCGTCATTAGAGGAGCTTAGCCCCCAACAGAGAGGCGGCACAGGACAGCGTGTCCCAGTGTGCCTCCTTGGCACGGCTAGGGTTAAAACCCAGATTTCTGTGTGTAATCCAGTATGTGTGTGTGTGTGTGTGTGTGTATGTGGCAAGTGAAGGTAGTGGAATAAATCGTTGATGCAATGTTTACAACAGTCATAACAGAGCAAGCTGAATATCATCTCACCTCTCTGCATAATACACCGAATCAAACAACACATTATGTTCCATCATACACATAAAAGGATCACGGGTGCTTACAAATGCACAAACACAAACACATTACAGTGAGATTTACAAAAAAGGGAAGTTTTAACAGTCAAGATACTGCTTCTGCAAAGAGTTATGTGAATATGAAGATGGAAATTACAAGGATCCTCTGTGAAAGCTGCCTCATGAACATCAACAAGCACAAATAAAGAAATAATAACTATTAAATAGATTTATACGCATATAAAAGCATAATGAAATGGTCATCATTACTTTACTACATGTTACAGTACCTCAAGCTGAATCGCGTTGAAGCAGTTTAAATCAGAGGTGTTATTCCAATTGTCTTTATCACTGGTTTCCTCATGGAAGTTGAATGTCTCAGTAATCCAGTAAGAGGCGAGAGCACCAGAGTGTTGGCTAAAGCAGCAGCTAACACAGAGCATCACAAAATCAGCCTTAACACGCCTCTCTGATTCTGACTGATGCTAAAAGCTCCGAGGACAGTTTTGGTCTTCAATACTAATTTTGAGCAACAGAGCAGAGAGTGTGTCCGTGTGAGCGCCATAGATTGTGATGTTCACCTGGCTTGGGAAATAGGCATATGTTGTAATCAAACTCTGGGCAATCTTCCAAGTGGTTTGCAGTTTGCACACACACACACACACACACACTCAAAAATAGTATCTATTCCAGACATGTTGATAAAGCCTCTTAAGCACCTGTTTGCAGCTAACTGTCTAAAGGGTTTACTGCCAGTCTTATACACAAACAACAAGGTGTTAAAGTCTGCAGTGAATGCAACACACCTTCATCTGCTCGATTGTCAGGCCAAATAGTTTTAAATAGTTGTATTGACTCAATGTATGTCATACTGTGAGTTGAATCTCCTTATGTTGCAATGTTATATCCCCACCACTGTGAATGCAATAATTCTTAACCAATTATCTAATCTAAATGTATCATGTAAGTCTGTTTTTGTAGTTCTGTATTTTTTATCTTTGTTCTGTCAGTGGTGTTGTTTTTTGTCTAAATTGTTGTATTCTTTGTCAGCCTTGAGCGACAAAGGACAGCAAGTGCAGATAAAGGGATTTTGCTCAGTCATCCTCTGCAGCACTTGCAGTTAGTCATCTGAATTTTGCTGTGTCACTCCGCACCCCAAATCTGTCATTCCACATTACAGTGGATGGCTCTCTATGTGTGTGTCTCTCCCTTGGTGCAGGCCTGTCTGTGGGTGTCTGTGAGGGGAGAAGCAGGTGCACTCCACTATCTTACATTCCTGCTGCAGTGAAAGTCAACTTGGGGTTTAGAAAGCCCATTCTTACTGACACTAACGGCCCCTACACACGGCGGCGTGCGTTGCTGCTTCAACGCTTGTGCCCATTCACTTTGAATGGGGTGAGGTCACGATTCGCCGAACTGCATTGTGGGAGCAAAGCGTAGCTTCTCTCGCGGTGCTCGCTGCAAAAGTAGAGCAATGTTCTACTTTTGCCGCCTCGACCGGAGGCGTCAGCCAATCAAATCCTGCGTATGCAAATCTGACAGCACAAGCGCTTGCCAATCAAACCGCGTGTGTGTTGGGAGAGCCAGACCGCAGTTATTTCCCATATGTCAAAAAATGGAGGAGAAAATTATCGTGGCGCTACTATATGACCAGTCCCTCTTTACATACAGGGATACAAACCGGAGGAGCCAGGCATGGGGGGAGGTGGCAGAGACAGTGGGTGAAACTGGTAGGTTTTCGCCTGTTTGGGGAGTTTATATCCAGTGTACTTCGTTTGAATGGACAGCTAGCAAGCATAGCCAGTATATTTAGCCAGCATGGATGTAGCATGAATGCTTTGCTTTGTATGTCCGGGGCGGGACATTCATGTGATTGGTTGTTGGTCGCGTTGTTCGTAAAAAATCCCCAAGCTTCAGACACGCCCACCGCCAAGCGGTAACGCACGCCGCCGTGTGTAGGGGCCATAACCCCCTGATCCCACCGGAAGCGTCTGCGCTGCGGCTGCGCCGCGCTGCGACCTCCTCCTGCGTCATAACCCACCAGGCGCATTTCAAAACGTTGCGGAAGCGGAGCGTCGTGTGTGCAGCCTCGCAGTTGTTGGATGAACGTTCCACTTCCTGCCTGCGCCGCGCTGCGACGCGTCAAAAATAGGATTCATCCTTTATTTTAGAAATTCCTTGCGGCGAGGAGCTTCTGGGACGCGTCGAGCCGTGGCGCAGCGCGGCACAGCGGGTCTGGTGGAATAGCACCCATTGACTAGAGTGGCCGCGATCGCTAAAAACGCCCAGCCGCAGCGCAACGCAGCGCAACGCAACGCAGCGCAACGCAACGCAGCGCAACGCAGCGCAGACGCTCCTGGTGGGATTAGGGGGTAAGCAGAGCAAATGTTCTTTGAAATATTTGAGTAGAACAGAGTATCTGATATGCAGGGGGATCAAAAGGTATTCATAAAACAAACACACACCTTTCACCTTTTCTAACTTGCTCACAGCCTTTACCTCTGTCTTCCCTGTCCTACATACAAGCTTTCACCACAGTGAGTGTATGTCTGAAAGGCACTGAGCAGACAGAATGCGACAGAGGCATATTTTAAAGGCTGGTTGTATGAAGGCGCTGGATTGAGTCACGCTCCAGCATTTTCTGCCCCAGTAAACTTAGCCCACTTTTCCCAGTGCGGAGGAGGCTTCCCAGCCTAAGTCCTGCACAGAAACAGAGGCACGCGTACCACCAACAACGTTAAGTAGATACGAAAAC